ATTGTTATTGACTGAATACCTGTGTCCCTGCAAAATTCATGTATCGAATGAAATCCAAACTCCCCAATGTGATGTTAATCAGAGGTGGAGTCTTTGGGAGGTGATTAGGTCATGAAGGTGGAGCTCCCATGAGTGGGAATATTGCCCCTTATCAAACACGTTCCAGAGAGATCTCTGACTCTCCCTGCCATATGAGGACACGTTAAGAAGACCACAATTTATGAACCAGAAATTAGGACCCACCAGAAAACAGTCTGCAGACGCCATGATCTTGGACTTTCCAGAACATGAGAACTACATGTTTGTTGGTTAAGCCAGCCAGTCTATGGTATTTGAATTACAGCAGTCCCAATGGACTAAGGCAAGTATGTAGTTCTTCCCGATCATTTTATAAGACCAACATAATAAATATGTTACCAAAACCTGAAATATATATTTTAAAGAGATAAAGGGCCTATATATCCCTCATTAACAAAGATACTTAAAAAGTTGCATCACTTCAAATCCAGCAATATAGAAAAGGATACTATGTCATGATCAAGTGGAATTTATGTTAGGAGGGCAAGGTTATAATCCACTAGGGAGTGAATGGTTGCAGGTGAGTAAAATTGGCGAAGAGGGTCGAGAGGTACAATCTTCTAGCTATAAAGTAAATAAGTTATGGCAGTGGAATGCACAGCTAATAGACTGTACTGCATATTTGTAAGTTGCCAAGAGAGTAAAACTTGAAAGTTCTCATCACAAGAAAAAAAATTATGATTGTGTATGGAGATCAATGGACACTATTGCATGATCATTTCATGGTGTACACAAACACCGAATCATTACATACTTGAAACTAATATAATATTATATGTCAATTATACCTCAACAAAAAAATTAGAAATACGTTTAACAAAATATATACAAGATTTATATGCTTTATAAAACAAAAAAAATGTTAAGAACAATAAAATAAGTAAAAGGGAAGTATACTCTGTTTACAGATCAAAAGATTTAATACTGTTAGGATGTCACATTTCTGCAAATTGATCTATAAATTCAATGAAATCCTAATAAAATCCCAGCAAGCTTTCTTGTATACATTGATAAGCTGATCCTAAATTTTTTTATATCAATGTAAGAGACCTAGAATAGCTGAAAGGATTTTGAAAAACTGAAAGTAAGCAAAGGAGAAAATGTTTTTTCAAACTTGGCTGAGAGAATGATTTCTCAGGACACAAAAAGCATGATCAATTTTAAAAATGGATGATTGGACTTAATCAAATTAAAAACACTCTGTGAAAGACTATGTTATGCAAATGAAAAGAGAAGTCACAGAGTGGAAAAAAATTGCAAAACACAACTCTTATAAAATTCTTGTGTCCAGGTATATGAGGACTCTCACAACTGAATATTGAGCAAAAAATTTGAACAGATACTTCACCAAAAATATATGAATGGGAAGTAAATACATGCAATATTTTCAACATCATTAGTCATTAGGAAAATACAAATTACAATACAGTGAGAGAGGTGCCTGGGTGGCTCAGTAGGATAAGTATTCGACTCTTGATTTCGGCTCAGGTCATGATCTCACGTTCAGGTCATGATCTCACACTTCATGAGTTCTATCCCCACGTGGGGATCTGTGCTGACAGCATGGAACCTGCTTGAGATTTGCTGTCTCTCTTTCTCTCTGCCTCTCTCTCAAAAATAAATAAACATTAAAAAAAATAAATTACAGTGAGATACCAGTACACATTTATTAGAATGGCTAAATTTTTGAAAACAGCAATGAATGTCAAAAACTAGAAAGGAAGCTGAGCAACTGGAAGCCTCATACATATCTGATAAGAATAAAAAATGGCAGAACCACTTTGGAAGCCAGTTTAGCTATTTCCTAATAAGTTAAACTTACCACATGATTTAGGAATCTCATATATTTGTCCAGGTAAACTGAAAACATAAATATCAAGTCAAGAGTCCTATGTTAATGTTTACAACAGTTTTATTCATAATTACCCCAGACTGGAAACTACCCAAATTTTCACCAACTGGTGAATGGATAAACAAATTGTGGACATCCATCCAATAGAACACTCTCATAAAAAAGAAGGAAAGTGCTGATACATTTAGTATCATGGATAAATCACAGAAACTTTATTCTAAGTGAAAGAAGCCAGACACCAAAGGCTACATAGTGTATAATTTCCTACGGCCTTCTGGAAAAGGCAAAATTATAGGGACAGAAATCAAATCCGTGGTTACCAGGACCCGGGGGTTGGAAAGGGGTTTGACTATAAAGAACCATGAGGGAAATTTAGTGTGAGGGGGGTATATATAGTCAAAGTCTATATCTTGATTTTAGTGGAGGTTATATAATGTTTACATTTGTCAAAACTCCTAATATTGTACATTTTAAAATGTTGGATTGTGTGGGTATAAATGACACCTCAATAAACTTGAAAAACATGTTAAGGAGTATCAGATTTTAATACAAGCAAGTCATGACATTTGCTGTCACAATGGTCTTTACCAAGCATCTCCTTTATATGTCTTTTAACACAGTTTTGAGGTTAAACAATATTCTGGGTCTTTTATCTACACCCTCCAATCCTTTTTCCAGTTGGGTTTGACTAAAGGTAAACACAACAGGAGATTATATTCAGGAAGCAGAGGGAAATCTTGTTTCTTTCATAAATTACACCTCTCATTTAGGTGTCTCTTGACTGGCTGTATGCCTGGATGAAAGGTCACACTTCTGCCAGGCAACTTTCTCTACCCATATCCCTCTGTCTCTATTTACCTTTAATCCTTCAAGATTAGGGTTACCTGGATTGAACCAATAATATGACTGTAATGTCCTTTCTGGTTCCTCTACACTCTGTCCCCATTAAATTCTCCTTAAATTACTCAATGTGCCATCTCTTTACTGTCAGAATCCTGACAGAAAGTGCAAGTCTCAACTCCTGACTCCATCACTTTTCAGCTGTGAGCACTTGGGCTATCCACTTCACATATTTGAGCTTCAGTGTTTTTCATCTGTTAAGTATGAATAATAATAACACCTCTTTGGCAAGGTTGTCCTGCAGATTAAATAATAATATACCAGCTGAAAAGTTTTCATGAATATGTTCTCCCTTTCTCATCTCAATCTCTCCCTTCTATCACTAGATGTATATTCTCTTTCAATTTCTTCATTTGCTCTGATTTCTGCTCTGTCTTTCAAGGTGGTTACCTTGAATTTCTCTGTGATGTATAAATGCATAAGTAATTTATATAGGGGTAGATTATGTGCAGAATCCTGTGTAAATGGCTTAAATGTACCATGGTTATGTTACTGGAATAAACTGTTGCTATTTCTACTGCTGCAGTACAGTTAAGTCAAACTTTTGAATTAGGTCAACAAAATCCACAAATAGGGTGGAATCTTTGGGCTGTCTAAGCAGGGACAGATCTGGAATAAATCAGCCACAGATATCACTTGTCAGCATGCGAAGAGAGGCATTTGAAATAAGGGTAGAAGGTACATCAAGAATATTGGCTTTGGTAGAATTATAATGCATCCGTTAAATCTATATTGAGAGTTTTCCATCATGTGGATTCAAGCTAACATAATCGTTTTATGGCAATATATGTTAGTTATGGACACATTAACTGTTTATGGCAGTTTATGTCTAAACAAGAGTCCACAATTAGGCTGTATTTTTATCTTGACTTGTGAACTGTCACTGCCAACTACTCAAATTTCAAGCTTGTTGAGACATATGTTATCCCTGGAAACCCTTCATAAAAGAATAAAGCATTTTACTGTCCCCCCAATTCAGTGTGCTCTAGTCCATTCCCACCTACATCCAAATTAACCATGTTTTAGTTCCTGCACTAGTGAGTAGTAGTTTAAATGACTTTCAAAGCAAAACCAAAAAGTACAAATTTATTTCTATTTGTGCAAAAACATGATCTGACTTGGATTCTTTTTTCTAGATTTTTAAATACTGAGAGAGGATGAAGTTGCGGGAAAAGAACTGGATAAGGAATTAAGAAGATTGGTATTTGAAATCTGGCCCTGTTACTGCTTCCTAGCTGTGTGATTTCATAAAGTCACTTAATTTATCTAGCCTCAGTTTCTCTGTCTGTCAAGTGGGAATTTATCTAGCAGTGAACCGAATGAACTAATAATGACCTAACAGCATGACTTATTACCTCTAGGATTTAATAACTCATTATTATTTGTTTTACAACCTGCGTGTGTAAGGTTGCAAATGTGGCTAGTAGGAAATGGAAGTGAAGAAAACATTCAGACAGAGGCAGGAATGTTTTGGTAAGAAAGAAATTAAAATCCTGGAGGACAGAGAAAGATAAGAATGATTACAATGTCTGCATTTATAGCCCACATGTCACAGTTCAGTATTTATAGGTTTGTTGGTGACAACCTTCCCAGTATAGCAATGTTAATTACGAAGTAGCTGTCAGTTTCACTGACACAGAGCTGTGCACCTGACTGAGCCTGAAACTACTCACCATTTTCACAGATGATCGTTTAATGTAAGGGTCCAAAAAAAAAAAATACCAATAAATCAGTTTGGGTTTCTGATTATAATCTTCCTAAATCTTACTTTGAAATATCCTAGTGACTTTCTTTCTAACAAATCTTAGTGCATTTTATTTGCCAGATATGCTGTGTAATTATCCGAGCTAAACTAAAACCTCAGGAAGAAGTGATGGTCTAAGGCTGAACACAATACTAAATGGATACTTAAGTTTTCCAGAGCCCAAGCTCCTGTTGCTACTTAAATACCAGGATCCAAGCAGTAGATAAAATCAATGTGGAGAAGAGTAGGAAAGGGAAAGAGAAAGACTCAAAGAAAGGGAATAAGAGAGAGAGGGAGAGGGGAGGAGAGATTGAAAAGAGACGGGAAAATGTTCAGTGGAAAATCTAGAAATGATGTAAGAGAAAGCAAAGGCAGGGATTGGAGTAGGGGGTGTATAACTGAGACTATAAAAACTCAGAGAGAAAACTCACCATCAGGGCTGAGTTTGGAAGAAACTGCACAGACAGGATTCTAAAGTTAGAATCTCCTGATTTTTCACAAGGTAAGTTATATGTAAAAGCTATGAGAAAAGTGTAAGGCTTTTTTTTCCTTTTAACTACTTTTTTCATTTCACATACTTTTAAGATGTTTCGATTATATCCTGATCTCGAATGTTTTATGGTAATATTTGTCTCTCTAAAATGAGTAGAAAATCTAAGAAGATATTATTATAAAATTAGGGTGGAGCTAATTGTATCTTCAGACATTTCATATTTATTGATTAATTTTGCTTTTATTTTCTACTTTGAGACAAACAGAAAGACAACTCAAGATAATGATTTTCTATATGTGTTAATATCTTAAATTTGCTTTCATCAAAGATGTTCAATGTGAGAAAAATTTTAAATGTATAAGAATGGTTGACTTTTAAAAACCTAAGTAGAAAAGAAAGATTTTTTCTTATCTTTATTTCTATCAAAATTAGAGCCCAAGAAATAGCCCTAAAGTAATCAAATCCCAAATTCAATATTCCATATTCTTCAAACCTAAAATATCCTGTTTTTCTCTTATTATGAAATTCAAATACACAAGTATGATATTAATACCGGTTTAGAGTAGACTTAAATCGTATCTATTCTTTCGTATTTGAAGTGTTCTTGCAATTAAGTGATCAAGTTGAGAATTAATCTGAAACATATACTTGAGTTATGTTTAAGAAATTATAAATTTTGCTTAAGAGTGAAAAAAATGAACACTCAATAAATTCAGTCTAATTCAGAAGATTCCTCCTTCAAATTACAACTATAGAGTCTATAGTTTAAGGAATGGGATAATTATTTGTTTCTAAGTTACCTTTCTAAAAATTAAATAATCTTAACAATAATTTATGATTATTTTAATGCCCATATAAGCTATCAAGCTGATAGGTCTTCCCAAAAGCATCAAGTACAGTTTGTGTCTTCTCCTTATTTTGATACTAGTCTTCAGCCCTCTTATAGAATTTTTCTAAGGAAACTCTCCCATGCACTGTGGTGTCACTCAATAAGACATTTAAAGTTGACATTTGTTTCACTCCCTTATTTCTCAGAGTTTTGAACTGATTCTTGTATAATGAATCATGGGCAGTAGAGAAGCAGATCTGTTTATAGGTCAGATCTGGGGGCCTCAGGATCATAATTTTAACTGCTTGTTTGAATACTTTCAATGATTTGAACCTTTGTTTAATAAAATGTGATTAATTGAACTTGTCCCAAAGGAATAGAACTCAAAGTAAGGGTTCCCAAAATGCTGCCCCAACTCTGTCTCTGGGTAGTCAGTAACTTCAGGCAAGCCTGAAGCACTGAGTAGGGCTCAATAATATTCTGTTATTATGGAAAGAGACAAAAGAGGTGCAAGTGCCAGGGAGACTGAGTGGGAGAATGACCAAGGGAAGCTCCCACATCAGCCAATTTTTCCTGTATTCAAGAATGAAGACTTGGGGTTAGTCTTTACCTACCGGACACCTTTTGCTCAGTTACTATGGTGCCATCAAAGGAATAGGAGATTTGGGGTCAGGAGACCAGAAGTGTAATCCCGGCCCTGACTTCAGCACCTTTCACACGGCCTACCTGGGGCTTCATTCTTTCCTCAGTAAAACTGGAGTTTGGGACGTTCTAAAGATCAGGAGGTTATAAAAGATCCCAAGTCCCCTCCTAGCCCTGGATACCTCTCCACACAGGCCAACTCCCCTGTGTCTGAGATCTCTCTGATTAGAGGCCTCTCTCTTTTTTCTCCACATTGTTTTCAGGGTACTTTTGTGGAGCAGTGGTTAGCATCACCTGCCAGTAATTGCCTGGCGCCTTGATGGGCTTGAACTAGCTATTGTCCAGCTTTACCCTTATCAATATTCCGTCATGTCAGGCCTCAGCATGAGGCTGCCCCTAGAGAAATGGCTCCTCTGCCATGCCTCACCCTGCTCCCTCCTCTTCTTTGTCCATCTTAAATCTCTCCTTCATCTCCTCTCCTTTGGCCAAGTTCGTTGTCTCTGAGCTGCACTCTCTCAGTCTGTTGAGAGCATTAAATCCAACAGTTTCCATTGAGCATCCCCTCCCTTTCTAAAACTCTGTGTTCCTATGACACATAAGACTGTAACCATGTGAAAAATGCATTTTTAGAATGTCATCCAGGCCACCACTGGCAACTTGCGCACTGACCCACCAAGTCAGGGCTGTGGTTCCCATGGGACCACTTTGGTGGTTGCATTTCCCTGCTAGCTCTGACTTGTCTGTCCACGTCAGGGCTCAAAGAGGCAGCCTCTCTTCCTCTGCCTCTTCTGCAGTCCATTTCTTCTCAGTTGTTTCCATGCCTGTATCAGGTCTAGTTTCAGTAACAAGATCCTTCATTCCCATAATGCTCATGGTGCTTCTGCTTTTTATGACACAGTCTGACTATGCTACCCTGTCAATATCACCAAAAAACCTGTGAAAAATCATGATCATAACAACATAAGAAAAAAAGTTACTAAAGATATCTTATGAGCCGTAAAACAAAAATATGTATCATATAAAATTATACTAAAATTTAATTTAAAATTCACTTTAATATAATTAGAACTTGAATATGTTTTGAATATAACTTGGATTAATTCCCTTTGTTTTCTTCCCATTATGATATTCTGTTGTATGCTAATATTTTCATGGAAATATTTCACAGAAATATTATTGCTGAAATTAACGATAATGCATAATATGCTATAACATCAAATGTTAGAGTGGTTGCCACGTATAACTCACTTCAGTAAAATCCCTTCCCTCGGTCAATATTACCTTATTATAATTTATCTTCTACCACTTTGCCATAATTCTAGATTTCAAGTAACTTTGTTCCTTAAAATGAAAAAGAATGAAAAAAATATTTTTCATAACAGAAAAAAGTAGTAGGACATATTTTGTGAAGTTGCCAGATTTAGAAGCAATACAGGAAGGATGACAGCTATATATAATTATCTTGCGGTAGTCACTTTTATTACTTGTAAGCCTTATAATAACCCTACAAAGTAAATCTTTTTTTTTTAATTTTTTTAATGTTTTATTTATTTCTGAGAAAGAGAGAGAGCGCATGAGCAGAGGAGGGTCAGATAGAGAGAGACAGAATCCGAAACAGGCTCCAGGCACTGAGCTAGCCATCAGCACAGAGCCCGACGCAAGGGTCAAACCCAGGAACCCTGAGATCATGATCTGAGCCGAAGTCGGATGCTCAACCGAATGAGCCACCCAGGCGCCCCCCCTAAGAAGTAAATCTTTGCCCCATATTCCTGATGAAAATATTGAAACAGAGAGGCTAAGTAGCATGCCCCACTCAGGAGTCACATCCACATCAGTGTAACTTAAGGGCCTACCTCTTTCTACTGGTCAACGTCATTGTATTAGAAAGTATACACACGGTCCCAGGCATTAGGGTACCAGGATTCTAAAGTAACTCTGCTTGTCTCAGTACATCTATTTAAGAAAGAAAAATTATAATATTTTTCCTGTAGCTCTAACTACTGTGGTAATGAAGGGAAGTAAATTAATTTCAAAATAATAAAGTACTACGCAAATGTTTAAAAAGTGATTATTGACAACAACTGCACTGGAAAGCAATGGAAGCATTCCAGGAAGAGTCTGGTGTTGCAGAAGGAAACCCCTGGCAGAGCAAGTGGTTGAGGGGGTCTCCATCTTGGTCAGGCTGTGGGCACTGGAGGTCGGGGAGGGTGTTTTACTCACTTTTGTATCTCCAGGACTTGCCATGTAGTATTTACCTAATAAATCCTATTGCATATTATGAAATTTATATTTGGGGCCCTTCGTGTCCATTTTCGACAGTATTGTTTCATTGATTATATTGGCTCGCTGAATGTAATTAAAATGGAAGTTAATATCTTTATTAAATATTATATGTAAGTACAAAATGGGGTAAAGGTAAAAGAGGTGATAACTGTCTACAATATCCTGGGGCTTATATGTGTCATCTATTCCTGCATTTATCCAACTTTATCCTTTGAAAGCCTCTTTATGCCAGGTAAAAATTCTCCATGTATCAAATGAACAAGCAGCATATTTGAGTGTATCCATAGTTTTAAAGATTCTTGTTCTTCTCATTATAAAGCGTTAGAATTAAAGAACAAATCCCCTTAGCAGAATTGTCTACAGTCATACCCTAAAGTTTTTCTCTATTTTCAGGTGACATCATTTTATATCAAGAAACTTGCATTAATTCAGGGATCCAAGCACAAACTATGGTTTGATAAGAAGTCTTAAACTCTGCTGGGATAATTCTTAGAGAATATTGATTAATGTTGCTTTCATTAGAATGAGAATCTGAGATGTGAAACCCTACTGGACTTACTGGGACTCTGGCATGAAGTTCATCATATATTACTGTGGTTGTACAACGTTGCCAAATCTCTATCTACCCTTCTCTAAGCTTCAGTTTCCTGTCAGCAAAGCCAGGATGTTAATATCTGCTCTGCATTCTTATCTACCTACCACATAAGGCTGCTTCATTCATTTATTCATTCAGCACGCCATGTTGACTATAAGTACTTTGTTACTCATATATGCCTGGGCTTTTAAACAATGAAGTCTTCCTTTAAAGTGTCATTGCAGGTTTCATAAATTTGGCAACAGATGAGTAGTATGATTGGAAATTCCAAATAAGCAAAAATTCCAAAAACTTTAACAACAAAGTTTGAGATTTTTCTAAAGTGGTAGTGTCTGAGAAAGAATGAAAATGATGCCACATAGAATAAAATCAATTAACATATGTATAGTAGGAAATTATCTTTTTTCCTGATTCATAGCATTCAGGAAAAGTCCCTTTAAAATTCAGGTGTCTGCCACATTAAGAACACCTCATCGTAAGCATTTTACTTTATAAGCATATTTTTTTGGGAAATGGAAAAATGTTTTATACTTTTACAAATAGGTTACACTTGAAATAGCATGAAACTGAGACTTTGAAAATGTAAGATGTTTTTCTGGCTCTTCTTCTAACTGGCTCTGTGATTTTGGAAAACGTACTACTACCAACTGGAGAGCAATG